AATTAACCGTTTTCCAGAAAAGAGGTTTTTTTTTTTTTTTTTTTAAATGAATCCCAGTGGGTTGGAGCGATGTGTTCAGGTGTGAGGGGATCGGTACCTTGAATTCCTTCCTCTGTAATCCTCTGATTCCTGTGTTGGAAACTCACAAGCATCACTAACTGGAGGGTGTCAGGAGCGGGTCTCCATTAACCCTTCTTGGTCTTGGCCAGAGCGAAGGTTAACTACACTAATCTACCAAAAGGGGCTGTAGCAAAAAAGAACCGAGGAAGGGGGCGGGGAAAAGGAAGAAGGGAAGGGGAAATTCACTCTAGTTATGAGGATTTTATGTCTCTTTCTCTGGTCCTTCCCCACCTCTACCCCTCCTATGAAAGCCGTTTCCATTCAGAGAGACAGCAATCTCATCTATCAAGGCAGCACTCTCCATAGCGAAGCACTTTAGGGAATTAGAAAAATATAACGTAGTGAAATATTTTCTCCTATTTAACTGACCACCAGTTCACTTAAAAATATTTCCAACATGCGTACAACAGATTATTGTGGGAGGAAGTTTAAAAAACTGCAACTAAAAGAATTACATAGTTTATCTTTTTAGATTTAAGTAAAAGCTAATCTAGAATCTTGTCAGTAGCCAAATTACAGGCATAAAATCTGGATGAGACTAGAAAAAAAATATTCTGCCTGTTTCAAACTGGCCGGCATATTAATGGATAGTTATATGATAGTCATGAGCCTGGAGGTACATGGACATGGGTGTGTATATATTCTTAGGGTGTTAGAAGTTCCTTGATGGATTAATGGTTCATATGCTCAAGCACTAGAGAGAGGCTGTCACTCATGGGTACATTCAGGAGTGGGCAGAAGGCAGTGTAGAAAAAGAGTTTTGAATGAGTATCTCGGTATCACCGTTGTTAAAATACAAGCTGAAATCACCTTAGTAATAGTAAAGCTACTGTGGCTTGAAAACTCACAGAAAAACACTGCAAAGTAAAAACACCAATTTCCTAGTTTGGTAGCTTTGGTCATTTAAACAAAAGATGAGCATATTTTGCCTAATATATATATTTTAAAATTTAGGGATATGCTACTTTATTTTACTTCTCAATGCACTGAAGAATTAAAGCAGAATGGGCTATGGCTAGAGATGATGGGATAAAGGTGCTCTCTGCCCATTTAACCAAGTTTGATGTGGGCTGTACATGCTTTTAATATTAATATTATATTGCAAGACAACTCCTGCTGAGAAAGTTCTAAAGACATCTAAAGCCATGTGGACATCAGTTCTTTTATAGTAATGGACAGAGTGAGGAATGATTGTCTGATTCTATATTTTTCTCTTTCTCAAGAGCCTGGTAATGAAATCCTTAAAATGACAGTTAATTTTGGGTATGTCAAAAGAGTATTAATCAAATGGTATCAAGTGCCAGTCACTTAAATGTGAAGATGTTAGTAAGACGAATATCCAGATAAGTTAATGTTGTTAATTAGCTGCATCAGTATACTTAAAGAAAATATAGGCAGAACAACAAAGAGGATTTATTTAATTTCACTAAACCATGAACTCAAGATGAATTTCAGAAGGACAAAAATAATTTTAGGACTTATTCCCATGCTGTTGGTTTTCATAAGGCTTAAAATTTTTTTTTCAATAAAAGCTTATAATTAGAAAAGTGACTAGATGCACTAAGACAGACACTGCCATAATAGGGAAACATTATTCATGAATTTAGGAAAATTTAATTAATTATGTTGCAACTTCACTTCTCCTCTTAAAAGGCTGTTTTCTTGAAATATTTGAAGGTACATGTTAAAAATTAGTAAAGAACTGTATAAAAATAAGAGGGGGCTATTTTAGTATCATATTCAGCTTCTTGACCTTAGGAAGTATTAGCTTGGAGATTCACAAAGTGTGTTGTTTAAGTAAAATATATAGTAGTCCTTTTAGTTTGAAGACAAGGTAGAAAAAGGTACCTTTTCTATCCATCTATTACAATTCATAATAAGCTAATCAACCTTATCCAAGAGATTTCTATGTACTTGATTGAGGTAAGTTGAGTAAGATGATGTCACTTTAAATAGTTAAAGCAAAACTGAAAATATTAAAGGAAGGGAATATTGACTTCAGTGAAAAATGTCGCATTGGTTATTTCTTGACAGGACCATATCACATCACATGTCAGGGAGAAGAAGTTAAGAGATTGGGGAACCCAGTTTCTTTGTAGAATGCATATTAATAACTTATTTCTTTCTTTCCAAAGGTATGTTGCAATTTTTTATTTTCCATATACTTTGTTGCCACATTACCAAGGCTAATATTATGAAATGTAAGCAGTCGAGGTTTAAAAAAGATATTTTTCTTTATAGTCTCCTCTGCGTGACAAAGATGTATGTTTATTTACTCACTGATTTCCATTCATGTGATTTTGGTTAATTTAATGGCTTTTAAAATTGTATACTATTTTTCTAAAGTCTACATTGTTTGCACATTGAAAACAAATCCAAAGATATTGAATCTTTTTCAGGAAGCACAGTTGAACGTTCAGTTATTGAAGAGCTGTGATTTCAGTCCCCCAGGTTCTATTAAAAACAAACATCTAAACCTGTTCTTCTTTCCTAACAACTCTTAAAATTGCAACTGGCATGGTTGTGGATGAATGATTATTTAATATGAGTCTTTTACTCTCTTTTCCTATTTACCCTGGAGATGCCTTTAATTTGTCTCTTATGCTTACGTATTTTAAAAAGTATTAGTCGGTGTGCAAGAATTGTCTACCCCCTTTTAAAAACCAGTGCATAAAAATTCTAAGTATAGGAAAAAGGTGTGATATTTATCCTGAAGTTTCAGTAACACACACAGTTTTCTTAATAAACTAGGAGAAACTCTATCCTAGATAAATTAAAATAGGGCAGCTGTTGAGTAGGCTTATTGTGCCTTCTTGCCTTTGGTATTAAGGTATTTGGGCTTTTGTGTTCACATACTGTCTATTGTTAACAGAGTGAATTTTTTTAAGTTGAAAAAATATTCTCAAATTGTCCTGACTTTATCACTGGATGCATTATTAGATTGAAAAAATAATATTCACATCTGTGCTTAAATCTGTATGTCCAGGCAGTGATGAGGAGGAGACATTCTGCAACATGTCCCATCCCCCTCAGAAAAAAAAAGCACCTCAAAACCTTACATGTGTTAGCTCAAAAGAAAAAAAATTTCTTAGGTTTCAGTGTGTTGGAAATACAGGCACATTATTTCTGCAATGGAACGCTTACTAAAATTTTTTTATTTTTAAACTTTATCTTCTAAGATGGGACACATCAGTTTTACCTATAATTTTAAAACATTAGAATAAATTTTAATTTTGCAGGCTTTCTGTAATAAATACAGATTTGTGAATATTAAGACTCCAAAATAAAATACAGAGGCAAGTGACAGGGCATGATGGCTTGGCTCGGTTTTTAGGGATGTTTTAAAAATCTGTTTTTAAAAAATTACAATAGCATGCTTTTTCAAGTGCAAAAGGTGGTGATGATAGGAAGGGAAGAGTAGAAAAACACCCCTCCCCGCCCTCCCACACCAAAAAGCCCCAAACAGCCAAAAAACAAAGAACCATATCCTAACCCCCACGCAAAACCCCTTAGCACTTTGGGAAAGTTTCTGTGAAACTGTGAGTCCTGCCAAATCTCCTAGTTGGTCAACTTTTTGAACGCAGCAGGCAATGGCTAGACTGAAGTTAGCAGGCTGGCAGCCTGAAGAAGGAGGCAGCCTTTTGGAGCTCAACTCTGGAGACTTACCATTTAGAGGGAAAGTTGGTAAAGCAACTGTTGAAAGTTAACCTTTCGCCTCCAAAGGAGGTTTGCTGAGGCAAGACAGCGAGAACTGATAGAACCAATTTTATTCTTTTCTCAGGCATTCCTAACTTTTATGATTCCACCCTCCTTCCTTTACTATCTGTCTTTGTGCCTCCAGGGCCAGTGAAAGAGCAGGGCAGATTCTAGATTGCTTTCAGAGTTTGCCTTCTCTGATGATGGATTACCATGTCAATTTAAACGGCATAGGATTAATTTGTTTCAATGATTTCTCTTTAGGCTGAATGCCAGCCGTTTTTCTATCTCTCTCCCTGCTCTTCAGAACAACAACAACCCCCCCCCCAAAAAAAAGCCTTCTTTCCATATTCTAAGTTAAGAGACAATAATAGAAATAGACAAGTTAGGTGTAATGTTGCAGCACAGTTACAGGTCTGAGTGTTTTTATCTCCGCCTATGAGGCTGAACATACAGTCAGTCACATTAAAATGAAATTGGACTCAACATTTATTCAATAAATACTTGTCTTGTAGATAGTCCAGTGCTGAGTGCTTTTGACACATAAGGACTTAATTTGTCTTGGATAACAAGTTATTAATATGGCACATTTAAACTTGCCACCTACAATAAGGTTATTGAGATATATATAACAAACCCAAATGATTATTGCAAAAAATAGTTTGTGTGAGGGATGGAGACATTTTTGAGAATACGTATCTTATTACAACCCACAGACGAACTAGTAACACTGACACACACACACACACACACACATGCACAAATGCAGGTGCACGTATCTATCTATCTATATATCAATATCTATATCTACACATATAGATATATATATTTCAAATCACAAAAAAAGTTCAGTGAAGTTAAAAAAATTCCACCCATTATGTAGATGTGTCTAACCTTTCCAAAATAAAAATGTGTCAGAGAGTTTTTTCTTTTGAACAATTTCTAAAGTGCACAAGAAAAATGCTGTTCAAATCCAATTTCTTTGCAAGACCAAACCTATTATGAGGTTGAAAATGGCACAAAAAAAGCACTTAGGTGCAATCCAAAATCAAACACCCCCCTCCACATTTTTCACCTAAACTAAACCTGCAGGCAGCCAGAGCATGTTGCTGGTAGAATAAAGGCAATTTAAGTTAAATAATCTATCCCCAAAGTGATTATTTCATTTTGTTCTCTAACCGGAGGTCCCCCAGTGGATACAAAAGGACAGGAGAGGGATTTCATCCTGTAGACCGAATATGTTTGACAAACGTGAGTATTTGAACCTTGGGCTTCTTTCTCACCACCCTCTTCTAATTGCCTCTCCTTTTCCCAGCATTCCCCCCGCGGTGAAATTTACATCATAGTTCATAATAATAAATTGCATTTTGAATATGAGCACAAATGCGTTTAGAGCCTTCTCTTTTTCTTCAGTCCTCTCAATGCACAAACAGGTTTTATCTGAGCAGGTTCTACTTTCTAAGAACATACAGGATCAGAGGCCAATGACCATCAGAACTGGAATCTATGCAATTTTAATTTGTGAAAAAGTTGTTGGTTGCTCACCTTGGGGGAGATTGTGCATCTCTAAGAAAACCAAATCTTTGAGGGCTCTCCCTGGGAAATGATGTTACACATGAGCAGAAAATCCAGGCAAGAAAGGCTAATTGAATGAAGAGAGAGAATTAGGTTAAAAAATAGAGTACAATCTAGTATCACATTTTCACTAGTGTAACTTGAAATGAAGGTGTCTTCGAATCGCCAGTGTTGCCAGAGTGTTTAGATGTTGGCCACAGATGGGAACACCTATTGAAATGTGTCTGAAGAAGATTAATAGGGCTTGTCACTGTTGGGAAAGCATTGCTTTGCTGTAAATTTCTACCAGCACAAGATGAATTACCGATGAATGCTCACTTATCAACCCCATCACTATCGTTCGACACTAAATCAAATTGAGAAGTTATCTGCAATCAGAAAATTTCTTTTTAAAATAGACATACACCTTTATGCCCCAACTCTTTAATAATCCCACTCACAAAACAATTCCCCATCCCAGGATGCTTCTTTAGCTTAAAGCAAATTATATTCAATAAAGAATATGGTAATATTTTTCGGTTCGCACACAATGGACAGCTGGCCAGTAGCAAAGTTTGACAATATTTTAACAAGGGTATGAAGGCTTCTGGGAAGTCATCATTTAATATTTCATAAAATGTGTACTTTTTCACTTTTAGGTTTTTCTCTCCTTTACTTGGAAGGCAAAGAAGAAAGTGGGTTTGCCGCTCTAAACCCTGTGACCTAATAGTCGTCTAGTGCTCTGGTAAGATCAAAATACGAGAGAACTACAAGTTTAGACAGAGAACAATAGGATGAGATTAAGGAGATGACAGTGATAATTGGGACATGCATTTGTTTTTACAATTTAATGCATTTTATATATCTCATTTTAAGGTGATTTATTTGAGAAGCAAAACAGTGGCATTATCTCTTTTTATTATCTGTTAACCAACTCTAAGCATTCAGAGGCTTTCCAACCCAGGGATAATAATATTTTAATAAAACCATCAACAGTTGCATTTTTATAGAGCTCTGTCTATTTAAATAGTGCCTCCACGTGCATGACGCATTTGATTTTTACTGAAATCCTGTACGCTCAGATATTTTAAATTCCCATTTTGCTGATGAGTAAACTGAGACTCGGAGTTATGTGAGGTCACGGAGCTTATACCAGCTCAGTCATTACTCTAATCTATGTTTTCTAGGTTCTTTTAGGATCTTCTCACTCCAAGACACGTATAAAGAAGAAGAGAAGATAATGATAATACTAATAGCCGCTTACATGTATTATATGCCGACCTCTGGCATGGGCAAGAGGGTGTGGCTCCTGCCTCTTGGACACTAGCCCTGAGGTCACTCAGAATTATGGAAGGTTTCCATTTACTTTTTCGTATCTCCAGAGAACTTTGAATATATAAAACAAAGATGGTTCCTTAGAAAAAGATAGAACTTAAAACTTGCAAGAAAACTTTTAGCTTCTTTATTTTCCAGATAAAAGCTAGAAGAAAAATGTGAGTTCTGCAGAGGTTAGATGATTGACTCAGGGTCATCCAGCTGGTTGGTGACGTGGTTGAAAGTGGACCCTTTTCTCTTGGCCTCCAAATTAGAACCCCCCCCCCAAATCTTCCCTATAATATGTCCCTCATTCAACAAAAACATACTTCAGATCATCTGATCATGTTCCTATTATGAGTATTTCTTTATTTTATGATATGATGCATTGAGAGGGCTATTATTGGTGGTTACATAAAAATTTCCAAAGTCTTTCCCACAATATTTTTTCATAAAACCTATTAAACTAACCAGACAAATAGTCCAACTGCGATGAAGAATCACACAATAAGAAGAATATTCTGCAGTCTCCATTAGGTCATCATAATACTCCAGTCTGTATTTATTACAGCCCTCCTCTGATGCTTCCATAACCAAAAGTACTAGATTTATATTCTCTAATGGTTCCCCAATGGGAAAAACCTGTGTTTTTTATCTTCCTTTTCCTGTCCCAAATCACCCTTCCATATACATTGCCTGCTTTGGGAATCCTTGTCTGGGTTTAATCAGAAGTTGCGAGACAAAATGTGCATTATTAAGAAATATAAATATTTTCAGAAGCAATCAAAGGGATGAAAGATTGATTCAGCATGCAGATTGGACCTAATTCGAAGCAGCTTTGTTCTAATGAGGGCTACCGGGATACAAAGTCAGGAGCTGTTGTGGCCACCAGTTGGAAATTCAAAGGCAGTAGAATGAACCTGTCAGGATTTCTTTTGCTAGCTGGGCTGAAAGCATGTATATTCTTTGCATAGTATGTATATTCTCCAGTTTCTGGGCTAAGCCACCTTTCTTGCCTACCCTTAGGGATTTATAATAGTCATCTTTGAAAAATTGTGACTAATTTCTTCTTCTCTTTAGAGTTCAGATCGGCAAGTACCTCCCTTTTTCTCATTCAGAAGTTGGCACAGCATGAACTTTCATAAGAACGTTGTGGCCTGGAGGCATCTGTATTACAGTTTCTTTCTTGGCTTAATAAAAGGTATCACCGTTATCTACCTGGTCAATCTCTATTGGGTTTCAAAATAGAGACACAGAAAAACCTAATAAGCCTCATTAGGATATCTGCTTTAAAAACAACGGGGCTGCCTCATTTAGCATGTTGCTTTGAAATGTCCCAGCAGAGCTGGGTGGTCATTGCATGAATAAAGGTATTGCTAATTTGGGATCTTTGTTAGTCTGGTAGGTCTGGAAAAAAAAAAAAGCCTAATGTGTAGGTGGAATTTTAATACACAAGGGATCAAACCCTGATTGTTGTATTTTGTTTTTGTTTTCTTTCTTTCTTTCTTTCTTTAATCCCACTTTTTGTCCACATGGCCATGTGTGAGAGATGGCTTGATTTTCTTGATATGGTTCACCCATCCACAGCTGGAATTCCAAAGAGGACTGAAAGTGTCTTTAAAATCAACGCAACTCAGGGAGCCTGAGAGAACAAGTTTTCCTTTGTTGTAGGGTATAGTATTATTTGCTGTAGGTTTTTTGATATACATTCTAAATTAGGCCTGCAAAGGCATGCTTCATCTTTAATTCATCACTCTCAGCTGAAAGAGATTAGCAATGTCTAGCACGCACCCCTCGTATGGTGCTGACCTCATCAAGTATGGTCTGAAATTAATTAGCCTCATTCATTCCAAATGGAAGAGGATAATGGAGCAGCATTTTAGAGATGACCATCACAAATTGTATGCAGCATATTTAAAAGGCTCCTATTTTCCAACCATGTAGATTAAAATTCTTTCCAGGCCTTACAATATGCCAGAGTTATCAAGGACCCAGAGTAGAGCCTGGTCAGGTTTTGCGTATGTATGTTTGTGTGTATGCAGAGTTGTATGTTGCTTGAGTGTTAGAGTCTGTGTACAGATGTATCCAAATTTAGCTGGCTTGCTCGCCAGGATGATACCTGGAATATTTGACCAACAAAAACCTCATGTTTAGTACTGTTTTATATAATACAGCAGTAGATTATGTTAAGTGGACCTTTTTGTTGCCATTAAATGGAACATGCTAGCACATAGACTTGGCTGCTATTTTTTGGTAAGATGCTATTCATACTCTAATTTAGAAACAGAAAAGCCTCTTAAAGAAATGCTCAACTTTTCTATTTTGAGTTATTTTTGAAACTTTCTATGTCTTTTCTCAGTCCCTACTGTTTGATCATATTTTAAAACATGATTTAGGACTAAGTTAGATTACAGAATCACTTAAATTTACCATCTTGCTAAGATTAGCTGATTTTTCCCTTTTGGGGATTGCCTAAGCGCAGCCAAATTTTTGAATATCAAAACCGCTTTCTTTTCTAGCCAAAAAAATCTTGACCGGGGTTCTTTTGGATTCTCAAAGATGTTGTAAAGTTTATTTTTATGAGCAGTAGTTTTGGGACTACAAATTGGAAGAAGAAAAAGCCCATGACTTTTTTGGTGTGTTTTCAGGTTTTGATTTTTTTAAACACTATGAAATGTAGTTAATTTATGAAAAGATATTAGTAGTATTCAGGGGGAATTTTATATAGTATATGTTTCTTAAGAAAAACAAAATCCCACTATGACTGTTTAGTTAAATTAAAAAGTGAATATTCAGTGTAATGTCACTACACAGTTTCTACTTAACTATTGGCGAAAAAAAAATGCAGTTTTAGGCAAATGATAGATTCAGAGCTTATTGGTAAAATTCATTTTCACATGTGAGCTATTTAAGACTACTTCGTCTTTTATAAAACAGAAACTGGAAGTATGTTGCCCATAGCTCTGCAGATGTAGGATTTAGCAATTTCTCTGTGCTCACTTTAGCCTAATCTTCTCATCCTAGAAGACCCCTTTATCTAATGGGCACATATCATTTATCTGTGCAGGATCATTAATCATGAACCATGAACCTATCATTTTGACATAAAAGATCTATCCCTAAATCTTCCCAGCCCTCTAGCATATCATTTTAGGAAATTAGCTAGCTTTAAGTTTAGACTTCTCACTTCTGGGGATGAAATGCAAAAATGGAGAAAGCTTACTATTCAGCCATAAAAAGAGATGGAGACTTTAGCTCTTTCGTATTTACCTGGATGGGGTTGAAGCACATTCTTCTTAGTAAAGGATCACGAGAATGGAAAAGCACGTATACATATTAGTGCTCTATACTAGTATGAAACCAATAGAAAAATAACTTCACACCCACAGGAGAGAAAAACGCAGGTATGTTCAGTGGGGGGGAGAGAGGAGAAAGGAAGGGACAGGGTAGGAGGGAGGGGGCTTGGTGTGCTCTCAGCTAATGTGCACAGTGTGAGGGTACACAGCACATCCCCTGGAGGAAGGGCTCGACTACAACTTGAACTTTACCTTAGAAATGCAAACTTAACCATTTGTACCTTCATATTCATCTGAAATTTTAAAAAATGGCAAAAGTTTAAATGGCACACATTATTTAATTTTAAAGTCACAGTTTGAGCCAAAAGATGGTGTGATGTAGCTCTCTGAATGTTGACAGAAATAGCTAATTTTCCTAATTGTCATCTGGTCAGCTTGGAATTTCATGGCAGATAAGTGGAATATTAATCAAAGGAAGATATTCTGCAAAAAAAATATTTTGATCCATTATGGTACATGTTACAAATAATAGGATATTTTTCTCATAATTTGTTGTTACTGAGACAACGGAATGCATGCATTCTATAATACTGCAATTTGCTTACATACGGGACGGCATGTCTCAATTCTTACTTAATTTTTTTTATTAACTAAGGTGAAGATGGCAAAAAAACTGTAAATATAAGGATTAGACAATATGAAATTTGTGTTCATTCAAATGACAAACTCGAAGTAAAACTCAGGTGAACTTATCAAATTTTATTTGATATCCACCTGAAACTATAAATCTATCTTGGCGCTTGAGAGTAGAAAGGAGGTTCACGTGAAATTCAAACCAGGTTTTACTAAACCTAACCCAGACTTGCTAACTTTGGGACAAAACTGTGGTTGCATTTTGGGTTCATACAAGAACTTTCATCTCACTTTAGTGATGATGAATAGATAATGGATAATGGGGAGAGAAGTAGGAGATACTTTGGATTTGCTGTTTTATTTTCTTTTGTATTTCCTGTAATGTTCTGAAGCAGGACAAAGAGTATGTGAAGCAAATTTTCAATAACAGGAATAGAAAGAAGACCACACACGAGAGGGGGAATCAGTAGCATTTTCATAGTTAACCAGACATAAGAGTTTTTACACAGGAGAACCAGGATGATACACCATT